TAAGACTAAGTTACACACTTTTATTTCTTCCAGCTCCCTAGTCAACTGCTCTCCTGATCTCTTCCCACATCTCCACAAGACCATGTTACCTGTGTGTGAGTCTGCTCTGGCTTCCATAACAAAATGCCAGAGGCTGGGTAACTTAAGCAACAGAGATTTATCTCCTCAGTGCTGGAGGGCTCTCTCACTGGCTCACAGACAGCCATCTTCTTGCTATGTCCTCGATGGAGAGAAAGATCTCTAGTGTATCTTGTAAGGGCACTAATCCCATCATGAGGGCCCCACCCTCATAACCACTCCAAACCTAATTGCCTGCCAAAGGCTCCATCTCCAAATACCATCACATTGAGGGTTAGGGCTTTACCATATGAGTTTGAGAGACACAGTTCAGTCAGCAGCACTGTGATCAGTAAGGAAGACAAATACTGCTTATCGCTGAGAACCTGGCCAAGACCCTTAACCTTGCAGGAGGCTCATTTTTCCTCCCAGAACATCCTGGCTGGACTGTTAGCCAAGGCCAGGGTGGCCCTACAATTCTAGGCCTTTTCCTTTGGCCTGCTGCTTCCTACAAAATGCCAGCTCAGGAGATCCGGAGAGCAGTTGCCTAGGGAGCTGGAAGAAATAAAAGTGTGTAACTTAGTCTTATCCTTAACCATTCATTTACAAAAATCCATACTGCATTCAGCAATATACTAACAACTATTTACTCCAGCATGGGCTTTGTTACTACATTCTGAATATTTGAAATACTTTAAAAAGTCACTGTCATCAGGAAAACCATCATTCATACCCAGGCAGCTTATGCCTCACCTTGCCCTCAAACCCAGTAGACTGCTGAGGGCTCGGCTGGGCCAGGCCTGAACTGCAAAGGGGCTGCAAAACTGAGTTTTTGATCATCCAGAGGAGGAAGGTGAGGCAAAAGGAATTGGCCAGGGTCTTAGCCAATTTGTAAGACCTGCCAGCAAAGGACCCATAAGCTGTATATAGTATAGTCTGTTTTTGACTTTCCTATGAATCATTTAACACTGCATACCTCGGACAGGGGCTGATACATGTGTCCTTCTGGTGTCCTTGTGTACAAATGTAAATATTATCTGTGGCACACATTGACACATTGAGGGCTGTGGGTGGGCATATCTTCCACTTATCCAATAATGCCAAATTGCTTTCCCAGACAACTTCCAGGTTGCACTAAATCCAGCGCTCCAGGAGGTACCGTTTCCCCCGTTTTCTCTGGAGGTTGCTGACACTCTCCAAGCTGTGGCACACGTGCAAAGAGCTGCTTTATCATGTGCTCCCGTGTGATGGCTTGAGATGAGCCTGTCTTCTGGGGGTGCTGGTCTCTCCAGTGACCTCTCAGGACACTGTTTTCTGTTTGCCTTTTTGTCTCTGACTGGTTTGGGTTTATCCCAGATCCAATTATATGAACTAATCCAGTTTTGGTATAAGTTTAACATAACTTCTCCCATCAATGATCTGTCCTTTAACTTTATGGTATTTCATATACCAAAGTCACATTTTAACACAGTCAAATGGTAATGGTTTGGATATAGTTTGTCTTGAAATTTAATACATTAAATTTGACACTATAACAGGATCAGGAGGTGGAGTTCTAGTGGGAGGTGTCTGAGGATCTGAAGGGGTGCTCGCTGTCTGAGGATAACATTAGTTCCTAGAAAAGCAGTTTGTCACAAAGCAAGGATCCTCCTCCTGTTTGACCCCTGCACATATGTACCCCCTTCCGCTTTGTCACTGTGTCTTGATGTGGTATGTAGCCCTCAGAAGCTGAGCAGATGTGGCTGGACTTCCCAGCTACCAGAATCATAACTAAAGAAGCTTTTCTTTATATATTACCAGCTTTGGGTATTTTTCTACAGCAATGCTGAATGGACTGAGCCAGATAGCTTAATACTTTTTCTGGCTTCTGTTTTACTTTTAAAGAAAAACTACCCTAATCTTTAGGATCAAAAATACTGTATTGGTCTTAAATTTTGTTTTTCATATATAGTTCTATAAACCATCTGGTAATGTTTTTGCACAGTAAGAAGAGAGAGCCAGTTACGCAGATGAATGGCCATCTCCCTGTGCATGTATTGGACGGTGTGTCCATCCCCTGCATCAGTGGTGTCCAAGCTGGTTTAGCAGCAGCACTCCATTACTTGGCAGAAAATAATTTCATTATTTGTTCCACGGGAGCCACAGAACACTTTGAAAACCACTATTCTAGAAAAGTGATGCTTTAGCATGGATTGATTTTTTTCAGCTGCTCAGCAACTCTCTCCTGTTAATGGGACCCCAGATAGTGACTGCCCTCAGCCGTTGTAGTGGGAACAGCTTGCAAGTCCTGTTTTTACCTCCTCTGGGGGCAAGCAGACTTCTGCTGATGGCCTGAAGATAGGAAAAGTCTTTCCTTGAACTCCATCCCTCTTCCCCCTAAATATTTCTTGGACCTTCGGCCAAATTCTATTCCAGAAGACAAAGCATGCTTTGGTAACTTCAGGCCTCAATGGGACGGGTGAGGGTGGGCCTGGTATAAATGTCATTTCCTCCATGGGGCCTCCTGGATTGTCCCCAAGGGTTGCCTCCTGGATTCTCCCCACTGTGCCACAACAGTGCTTCCACCCTGGCTACAGCCCTCCTCTCCCTCTGATGTGTGTCCCATTGGCTGGATAGACAGATCCTTGCCCTCTAAGAATGGGGGGTTTGGGGGGCAAAGGCTGGACAACAGGTCAGCCTCCCCTCTCTACTTGGCACAGAGCCTGGCAGTGGACACACTCAGCATGTGCGGAACTGAAGTACCCATGAAGACACAAAGCTAGTCTCCAGTCCCTTGGGCCCAGGGGCTAATACTCCAGGGAAAAGCAGGAATTACATGACGTGTTATGATCAAAGTTCCCTTTGCCCCATCATCTGGGTTCCAGGATGTCATCACAGATAGGAGCCTGCACTCCAAACAACAGTGAGGTTTATTTCAGTGGAAGGAAAGGAAAGGATATACTGATTATTACAAACTAAAGAGGGTTTGCATTGCTATGGACAGTTACATCTTACATTGGGACTACTTAGGACATTCCTCCAGGTAAACCCAGAAGCCCGTGCTGACTACAACTGTCCAACACTTTAAGTGTCTCCAGGGCTGCCTTCCGGACTCCAGGATCCGTGTCCAGCTGGAGCTCCTGGAGAGCTGAGAATGAGCACAGAAGGAAGAATCGGGCACCCCAGTCGAGATTGCACTTCCCATGCCAAGCCACGGATTGCTGGCCAAGGTGGCTGGCAGTGGGCAGGGGGAGGACTTGGAACCTCCCATGGGAAACCAGAAGATGGCAGGTGGGGCTATGTGATTTCACACACATCACCAGGCTTCAGCAGCCACCCTATCATGACAGAAAGATCACCACGGAACCTGATCACAGCCTCAGGGCAGAACGTTTCATAAATAGCTGTGAATGGGGGAAGTAACGGGAGACAAAGTGGACTCCACCTGTCTGTAGCCGTCTTCCTGGGAAGTCCTCCCTGCACAGCCACTGCTTTCTGTCCAGGTTAGGCCAGCCACCCGCCCCATCCCCAGCCTCTACAAAAAAGGGTCCTCTGGCTCTTCCCTCAGACCAATCTCACTAAGCTCCGTGAATGAACTGTGTTGAGTTGTGCACTCAGAGTACAGTTGAGTCCCCACTACTTACAATTCCGTAATGCTGCAAAGTCCAGCTTTTTCAGATAATTTGTGGACATCTGCTTCATAATAATTCCTAAAATGTCAGCCAAAGAAACACTTATCAGATGCGTGTTAGGTCAGCAGGCAAACCCCTCTGTGTCCCTCCCTGCAAGAGGCTTAGTTTTACCTTCTGAGGACTTCAGTTAAAGATTCTGTTGGACCAAAGTTAGCAAGACAAGCCTAGTTCAAAACCAGGCTGGTAAGAAAACCAGGGGATACGACGTCCTGTGTGGGGGTTAGACCTGAGCTCGGGTCCCACCTCCACCACCTGTTTCTCTCCCTGTCCAGAGTGGGGGTTGACCTGATGGCTTCCTTCATGGTCCAGCCTGAATTGGGAGGCATCTGCCTACTTACCTGCCAAGTTGCAGGCAGCAATTCTGATCCTTGACAAGTTATTTTTCACATAGGCCATTGTTTCTAGCAGGAAGCTATAGAGAACGGCAGGCTTTTTCTGAGTCTACAAGAAACAGGTGACACACATAGCCTGAGGGCTGTTCACCTCTCTGTCTAAAGCATCGGTTTCCTTGCAAATGGAACAGTCTGCCCAGAGAGGGCAAATACCCCTCCCAAAATCACACAGCAGATTAGTTGCTAGGTCAGTTAAGGAGCTTCAGCCCCTGTTGCACTCCTCTTAGACTCCAGAGGGGCGATTAGGCTTGTCCAGAACCTGTGCTGCTGGACACATGGCCCGTGAGCATTTGAAGTGTGGCTGGTCTCAATTAAATGTAAAATACCTCCTGGATTTTGAAGACTACCAAAACCACCAAAATGTAAAATAATCACAATAGTTTTTATACTGATGACAGTTGAAATGGTCATGTTTTAGTTATATTGGATGAAATGAAACATTAAGGTTAGTTATCACTTCTTTCTACTTTTTTGAATGTGGCTACTAGAAAACTTAAGTGGATCTTTCTAACAGTAGAATATAAATGTCTTACCACAATAACTAAGAAAATGACATCAAGGTTATGTTAACCAGTTTGATGAAAATATTTCAAACGGTATATGAAAACACCACACTGTACCCCATGATTGCATTAATGTACACAGCTATCATTTAATTAAAAAAAATTTTTAATTTAAAAAAAAATAGTTATGTAGCTTGCATTCTACTTCAGTTGGTCTCGACACTTCCCGTGTAGAAAGCAGTCACAAGAAAGGAATCTGTGGCTGTTTCAATCCCAAATTCAGGCCCCTATGGGGCCACCTGGGACAGGCTGGTCCCCTTTGGCTTCTCACCAGGATGGAGCACATGGTTGTCTGAAAAACGGCCAACTTGTCATCAGCGCTGGTATCACTCTGCTCCCAGGGGCTCTCCAGGGACTTCCAGCCCCAGAAGTGCACACACTGAAACATGGTAGCCATACAGGCCTAGAGGGACAAGGACACGGGACAGCAGAGAAGTGTGCGGCCCACCCAGCCTGGGTGGTTCGCACAAGGGGTGGGCTGGCAAGAAGCCAAGGGGCAGCCCAGGAAACACCCCACAGAGCAGAAAAGGAGTGGGGCTGGTGGCTCCTAGAAGGCTACCTGGGGCCTGAGGCCCTGCTGGCTGGAATATGGGGCCACATGTCCATTTGTCAAAATCCCCAAGGAGGCAGGCACAGCCCCACTCATCCCTGCTGCCCATACTTTTGTACCTTTAGCTGGCCTGTCTGAGACCCAGCTCTTGAAGGGATCAGGGATTGGGGGCCTGGCTTGGGTGGGCAGGACAGGTTGAGTGCCCCAGCCTCTGGCTTCAGAAGAAGGGAGGGCAGGAAGAGACGGTGGCCGTCTCCTCCCCAGGGATGGGCACGGCACTGCACGTGTCTTGAGCTTCCCTTCCCCAGCACTGCCTGCCTCGGGGGCACTTCATTAACTCTCCACCAGCCTTGCTGGGTGTGCGTGCCCCCAGCTTCCCTGCATTAACTCCCTACCCCAGCCCCTGCTAACTGTGGTTGATAAAACATGGAAGGACAGCCTATACTGAAGACAGAGGGTGGTAGGATTAGTAGGGAAAAAGGGATCTTTGAGTGGGATGCTTCATGCCCAGGGTTGCCAGGGACCCCACTCCAGAGCCTAGGTCTGGGGAATGTGCTTCCCAGGCCACCCCACCCCACCTGCCACCCTCATAGCAATGGATCCAGGAGACTTGGACAGAATTGGGGACTAAGTGACCATCGAGTCCCCTCTCATGTGGGGCTAGCTGCACCCCCAAGGCTCCCTAGGAGGGGGCAGAACCACCCTGGGCTCAGCCACCTCCCCAACAGCCCTTCTGTTGTCTGCAGGAGGAGGTGAGAAGGGGGAGATCAGGGCGACTATGGGTCCTCACGTGAGTGCCTTGGTGACACTTCATTAACTCTCCATCACCCTTCCTAAGTGTGCCCCAGCTGCCCTGCAGCACCTGCCCCTCCCCAACCTCTCTTCCTCTCCTACCTTCCACCCCAAAGCAACAAAGAAACTGGGCTGAGAAGCAGAAGGGAAGCCCAGCCACCTAACAGCCCCCGACATGGGCCTGCCCCCAGGAGTGAGGAGGGGACAGGGCTGAGTACCGATACCCAAAGTGACTGGCCAGTTGTAGAATCTGCTAGAAGAAAGGGAGGTTGTGTAGAAGATGGCTACAGTCAGTGACTAGAGAAGAGGGAAGCCAAGACACATCCCCCACAGAGCTGAGACCCCCTCTCCCCAGCCTGCTGAGTGATGAGGACAGGGCAGGGCTGGGGGCTGCAGTCCTGGGCTTTCAGAGAAGACGGAGTGGGGTGGGGAAGTGCATACAGCTAACACAGCCAAAAGATCTGTCCCTTTGGGAGACAGGGGCCCCAGACTTTGGGACACAAAGACAAGGGCACATCTTACTTGGGCTGTGTTGGTACAGGGGTCCTGGCAGTGCAGCAAGAGGGAGACCCAGGCCTTCTTCACTTCCCCTTTGAAGAAATGCTTCTTGGAAATCCTGACCACCTTTGCCAGCCTCCCAAAGAGGACGAAGGCTTTCGAACGCAGCAGCTCACTTTCCTGCAGCCGAGGCACACACACATGGGCTGACGACAGGAGGCAAGAAGCCCTAACCATCCTCTCAGGGTTGTTTTCAATGCCATGGCTCCTGTAGAGCATTCTGGATTATTCCATCAGGGCAGGGCTGATATAACCCACAAAGGACTGGGAATAATCCAGATCTAAAATCTAAAATTCTAGATTTTAGAATAAGCCTCCTTTTTTTTTTTTTTTTTTTTCCTTAAACAAGCTCCCCTGACCTGTGGCCTTGGCTTGTTCTGCTCCAGAGCTAGCCAGTGTTTCTGTTGGGGACAACAAGTGCCCCCTCCTCCCCTGAGCAAGCTAGTAGAGGCTCTAACGTGGACTCACATTGTCGAAGAAGATCCTGCACTGCTCAGAGATGCTGTCAAAGAAGGAGCCCAGGTCGCCTTCCCGGAGCTCAGCCAGGATCCTGGCCAGGGCCTCCATGCCCTCGGCGGTCACACTAGTGCTCGCGGGCCCCCGCAAGGAGCTGAGACACCTCTCCAGGAGAACCTTCCGGTACTGCCTCACCTGGATGGGCACGGCAGCCCTCAGTCTCCTCCCAGGCTCCCAGCTGGCAGTGTGCCCTGCGGGGCCCCCAGCTCCAAGGGCCTGGGTGCAGGGCTGGGTACAGTACCTTCCTGGGGGCACCAAGGGCCATGTTGCCGAGGGCGCGCAGGGAGAGCACTCGCAGGACCTCATCCTCCTTCTGCTCAGTGCCCTTCTCCAGCATCAGCACCACCGGCTTCAGCAGCTTCTCCTGGTACAGAATCCGGTCACTCATGAACTGGAAAGGAGACGTTTGACAGTTACCTTGACAGAGGCCCATTTCTCTGCAACCAGGGATTAGATGTGATGCCCACACTGGTGCTTTGCAAGCAGGAGGTGAGGGCTCCGGGTGCCTCGGTTTTCTCAACAGTAAAAAGTGGACAATACTGGTGCCTGCCTCAGGGAATTCAGTAAGGAAATGCATGGGAAAGCCAGGTTGACCCTACAAACACAGATGTGTGCATTCGTTCTTCTTTACGTCTTTAGTTAACATGACAGAGTGGCTGCCAAGCGCCAGAGCCCTGCCCACCCAGGTCTGAACAGAATTGTGCTAGAAGCAGGAGTTTCTCTCACTCGGGAGAATCAGGATTGATGTAGTACTCAAAGCGCCACACCTTAGGCCAATGGGACCCCCTGGCACTCGAGTCTGTGCCTGTGTGTGTGCATGCATGTATGTGTGTGTATATGCATGTGTGTGCATGCATCTGTGTATGTGCATGTGTGAATACATGTACACACATGTGCATACATCTGCTTGTGTGTGCATGCAAGTATGTATGTGTATATACATGAGTGTATATATGTGTGCATGTGTGTACATGCATGCACATGTATGTGGGTGTGCATGTGTGTACATATGTGTGTATGTGCACATGCATGAGCTTCTGAATGTGTTTTAATGAGTCCTAAAAAGAAAACTAAACACCAAACAGATGAGTCGACTGTTGCCATGTCCAGGTCCTCAATCCCCAATTGGGCTTGGCTGCCCTAAACCCCCAAGTGCTCTGTCTCCTCCTTGCTCCCCTCCAGCCAGACCTAGACACCAACATCAACAGAAGCTTCCTGCAACATTGTGTGCACTTAAACATCTACTGAGCACCTGCCAAGAGCCAGGCTGAGCACTGAGCAAAACTAGCATGCCCTATTTGAGATGCCCTCAGGATAAAGTCGAAACTTCTTGGCTTGAATTTAAAAAATCCTTTATAGGCCAGGTGCAGTGGACCATGCCTGTAATCCTAGCACTCTGGGAGGCCAAGGCAAATAGACCACCTGAGCTCAGAAGTTCGAGACCAGCCTAAGAAAGAGCAAGACCCCTCTACTAAAAATAGAAAAATTAGCTGGGCTTTGTGGCAGGGCCTGTGGTCCCAGCTACTCAGGAGGCTGAGGGAAGAGGATCACTTAAGCCCAGGAATCTGAGGTTGCTGTGAGTTACGATGCCACAACACTCTACTCAGGGAACAGAATGAGACTGTCTCAAAATAATAATAATAACAAAACAATAACAAATCCTTTACAATACAGTCTTCTCAACCTTGAAGAATTTGAATAACTTGCTTCTCCAAAGCGGAACCTAATTTTTTGACAGTGATAGCTAGCTAGCATTTAGCAAGTGCTCACCACGTGCATGCGCTCTCCTTTAAGTCTCACCATCACCTGGTAAAGTAAGCCCTGCTGTCCAGATTTGTGGATGCAGAATTCAAAGCTTGGAGACTTAAGTAACTGATTCCTGGCCCAGTGCTGGGCAGGGGAGCAGGACACTGACCCAGGCCCCAAATGTCAACGCCTGGGCCGGGCCACAGAGAGCTCCAAACCCAGACACAGCAGAGGGGCCTCCCCTTCTCACCTTTGTCTTGAGGGTTCGTGGGGTGGCAGGAACCCAGGGAGAAGCCCGAGGATGTGAGAGGGTGTGAGGAGCATGCCCCGGGATGTCTCCCGCTAGGCTGGGAGACTGTATAGCCCACAGCCAAGAATCATTTTTAAACAGTGGGAGAAACCCTAAAGAACATCTTGTGACACAAGAAAATTGTACGAAGTTTAAATTACAGTGTCCATCAGTAAGGTTTCACAGGGAAGCAGCCATGCCCTCTGGTTCACATATCATCTGTGGCTGCTTTTCCACCAAACTGGCCACAAAATCAAAAATATTTCATTACTATACAGCCCATCACAGAAAACCTTTGCCAGCCTGGCCTGGACTGCTGTTGGTCCCTACAGCATACCTGGCAGAGTCCCTCAGCCTATCAGAGCTCTCCTCTGGGCCCCTGGGTTGCTGGCACTTACTTCATCACCCATCAATTGGCTGCCACACTTCACAGGCGCATCTTTGCCCTGAAGTGCCTGGCCCTGAATTAGTGTTGTGATGAATGAATGAAGGGGCAGGTGAGTGAATGAGCACGTGGAGGAGGGGAACTGGCCTGTCCCTGACTCCAAAGCCCAGAGATAAGGCATCCCAGAAGAGCTCAGGACCCCCCATCCCATCCACACGCCCCGCGCCTCACTTCCATACAGATGGCCGTGCTACTGACACGGCAGCTCAGCACCCGCGAGTCCATGCCCCTAAGCGCCAGCTCCGCCAGCCTCTGCTTGTAACCCTCCATGTGCTGTGTGCAGAGCCTGCAAAGGGAGACGGGCTGCTGGTCAGGGACCACCCACTTCCTCCCTGACGTCTGCCAGGGTGGGGCAGAGCTGGCTTGGGGCCCAGCATGGGGCAGGGTACCATGGAAAGACCTGATATCTCTGGGCCTCACCTTCCTCACCCAAGGGGCTTGGTCAGGTGGTCACTGAAGTACTTAATCTCCACCCCCTTTTTATCAAAGGGAACAAGAATGGGGCTGCTCGAGGGTTCTGAAGCTGGGAGGTAACTCCTGTCCTGGCCCGGCTCATAGCCCTGCGTGGCCTTGGGCAACACCCTCCTCCCTCACACCACTTGTGTTCTGCTCTAAACAAGAAGAGATGGAATGCTAGATCCTCGCTGTGTCACACCACCCAGAGTCTGGGATGCAGGTCACTTGCCCAGAAGAGCTGCCCAGGGATGCAGGTCACTCGCCCAGACTTTCCCAGAAGAGCTGCCTTCAGCCATGGGACTGTGCCCCCAACAGGGGGACCTTCTGTCCAGCAAGAGGGGCCTCTCAGGTCCCATTGCCACCCCAGAGAACTGCCCCACCTGGCCAACAGGCTCACGCCCTCCAGGAAAGACTCGCTGTCTCCCAGGAGGGCCCACACAGCCTGCTCCTCCAGGGCGTGCTCCAGGGTCTCGCTGTGGGTCCTTCTGAGCAGCAACTGCATGGACTTGATGGTGATCCTGGAAGAAGGGGGGCGTGTGACGCATCACCTGGCTTGGGGCACGTGCCCTCTGTGACTGCTATGCCTCCAAGTTGTGGAGGGTATGGACACGGGACAGAGTGGGTCTGCAAAGTCTAAAAACCATGCTGTAAGATCACCTTACAAAAACTTCTCTTCCCCACCAGGAGGGGACAACAAGACCTCCTCAGTGGAGGTGACTGGCGGAGATGGAAGCTTTAGGAAGCTGCATTCAACCCAGGCCTGCTGCCTTGCCCCCTCCCACCTGCCCACCCACCCCCAGAGCACCTCTGCAGGCTTAGGTCCTCCGGGAGGGGCCCGGTGTGGACCAGCCTCCACGTCTTCAGGACAGGTGAGGCGGCCTCTGGCTGGTGAGTGCTGCCAAGCTGCAGTAGGAGTGTGTAGAAGAGGTCGGGCAGGAGGCCTGGGAGCATGTCACTCTGCTCCGTCTTCTCAATAAGGAGGTAGATAGTGCATAGGGCCTGCAGAAAAAAGCAGGGCATCGGGGCTTCTGCCCAGAGTCCCCCAAGGAACCCCAGGGCCTGTCCCATGACTCACCATCAGAGGGTCCACTGCAGCCAGGCGCCAGATATCGGCCTTGGAGGTGGCACTGACCCTGGGGCTGAACCGTGACTGCAGCCGGCCCATGAGGCCAAGGAGCATAGTCCGGGCAAAGGACACATTCTCGGACACGGCCAGCCACACCTCTGTCAGATGGCTGACCAAAGCCAGGGCAGGAGACAGGTAAGAATCCCATCAGATGCCCTAGCAGTCCCTTAGGCAGAGGATGAACTCTGGGGCCTGAATTTCAGGGAGGTTAGGTGACCTGCCACTGTCTGCATAATTAGAACCCAGGCCTCTGACTCCACACTCTTCCTCTGCACAGCTCACAATACTCACGGCCCCCAGGGAAGGCCCAGCTTCACTGCTGGATGACCTCAGAGGGCCCTTATGGACATGTCTGATTATACCCCCAAGTGCCCAATTCATGGCAGCTTGCTGATGTTATACCATCTAATCTTCCCTTCCATTTTTGAGGGAGATATTTTTAATCTCCATATTCCACAGAAGAGGAAATTATGGCTTACAGAGGATAGGTAACCTACCAAACTGCAAGTGAAAATAGTCTTGCTGATGGCCAAGTCCAAGCCCATGGCCCTGCTGAGAAGGCAAGTACCCAGGATGGGTACAGAGGACAGAAGGGTGGGAATCTGGTGAGTCCTAAAGGCCTAAGGTGACAAGCCCAAATACAATTTTGCAAGAGTAAGTAGCCAAAGAGATGTGGAAACTGCCTATTTGAATCCACAAAACCAAATGGTAAGTTCAGGGAGGTGAGTTAGGGGTTGGGGAAGATACAGCAAAGCGCCCTGTGGTGGGAACTAAGTGGAGAGGTGGACCCAACGCTCTCATTAGCACCAGATAAAGGCACAGAGGTGCAAGGAAACAAAGTGGGGACCTCAGTCCCACAATGGCAAGAAACAATTCTAGCAACAACAGGTGGATGAGGACCCAGGCTCAGAATGCAACTTGCCTTGTAATGCCGAGCCACACACAGACTCTTGCACCAAGGACATGTGACACCATATGTGGGTGGTGGTTTGCCAGGCGGTAATAACTAACCAACACAGATTCCGGGGGACTAAGTGAAAGGCTGCACTGAACACTGTCCTCACGCCACTAGCAAGCCTCGGGAGCAACAGACACTCATTATATGCCAACACCCCATCGTTTACTCTCCTGGACCAGCTGCAGGCAGTCCAAGAGGGGAGCAGCTTCACTGGGGAGCAGCTCTGCGGGCAAGCCAAGCCTGCGTTCTGGCAGGGTCAGCCCTGGGGCTCTGAACACAAGGCCCAGGTTTGAAGCTCTTTTCCTTGTCCACAGCTTCTGGGCGTGACACCTGCCTCATCTCCCTGTGCCAGCACGGGCTCAGCTACTCTGGGGATGATGGCCTACCTCTTTCTGGGCCCTCTGCATTTGGGGAGACTCTCCCCAGCTGACCCTGTTGTTCTCTGCTTAATTCACACTCACAACCACCTGAGGGCTGCAGGCGAGGCCATTGCTTCCTTGGAAACTTAGACAAGTTACTGCCCCTCTAGGGACACTTTGAAGGGTACAGGGACAGACTGGAGCATCTCTGGAGGCCTGTTTGGGCCTCAGAAGGTCTCGTGCTCATCTACAAGGAGCTCTGTTCTCCTTGGGGCAGGAAAGGGCTGCCATGGGGGATACTGGACATCACAGACACTGCCCTAGAGGAAACCAGGACATGTGAGGAGATGAGGGATGGCATTTCAGCTCTGTAGGATGAGGCAGTGAAAGTCTGGGCTGGAGATCAGTGGTTCGCTGGAGGCTGGTGCCTCACCAGGGTTCTGACCTCAAGTGGGCTGGGCACTGCCCTAGGACCAGGTGACCAGGACATGTGGGGGTGGGGCTGGTGAGCAGGCCTCTGTCTGAACTGTGCAGGTGCTGTCTCCCCCAGAGCGCTCACCTCTCCATGGGCAGGGGCTGTCTCAGAAGTGCTGTGAGGACGGTCTCCTGGTGGCGGTGCGCCAGCAGCAGGATGCCTTCAATGAGAAGGCGCCGCACCTCCAGGTGATCCACAGCCGGCAGGTGCACCAGGATGGCACCCAGGATCTCAGCCACCTGGGGAGGGGTGCGGATCACAGGGCTGGCCTGGGCTGCCCAGGCCTCCTTCCCCCACCTTCCCCCGCCCCCCGGGTCTCTCGTCCAGCTGGATGACAGACAGCACAAGCTGCCAGCACCCTCTCTGCACATCCTTTCAGCCTTTGCCTTCCTCCTCAAGCTCATTTTATCAGGCTTTCAAGGTGGGAGGTGTTGTAGGGGAGGGAGAGCCTCGGCCTCCAGGCCACTGTCCATGTACAGTCCAGGTGACCTGCAACACATTTCTTTCTCCTTCTAGAATTCTATTTCCTCCTCCTCTTGGGCAACCAGAGGTTTAGGGCAGGCCCTCTCAGCGGGTACAGGCTGGACCCTTGCCCAGCCCCTTTCCTCTGGGTGCAGCAGGCAGCCCAGCCCCACCCCCAGGTGGTCTGTGCCCCACATGGCTCTGCCACCTTGTCCTCCAGGTCCGTGACCCGCATCTGGAGGAAGATGCCTATCCAGGTGACAGAGGCCTTGTCATGCTGCGGGTTCATGGCCCCGATGTTCTCACAGAGTTTCTGGATGAGCGAGACCACCTCGTCGCAGTTAAACTCCATGCAGATCACCTAGGAACAGAGCAGTCAGATGTGGAGTTGGCAATCAAGTCCCAGGCCAAGTCCCCTGCCCCATGGCCTGGGGCTCACCCATCCCCTCTTGCCCCAGCCTAGGCCCCCATCCTTTCTCAGATCCTGGCTGCAGTCCCTCTTGCTGCCCACAGGTCTGCTCAGCCCCTCCAGGATCAGCCAGCTTCCCTAGGCCTCTCCACTTCTCATCACCTGCCCTGTACAGGAAGCTCCGCCTCAAAATCCACCATTCTCGCTCTGCTGCTCTGCTGCCCTGCAGCCCCAATGCCTTGAGCCCTGATGCCCCTGCCTTGTCCTGCCACTCTGCAGCCCACCCTGGTCCTGGAGCAGAAGGGGCCGTGCCCTTCCGAAGCTCTGAGTCCCCTGTTCTGAAGTTCTGAGCTCCTCACTCTACCATTAGTGTGTCCACGTCCAACACCTGTGCAGTGCCAGGGGCCCCCTCATTGTAGGGATGGGAGGAGACAGGCAGGGCATGTGCCAGAGGGTGTGGTGGGGACCTGACATTCTGCAGGCCATCTCAATACAGATGGCAGGAGGAGAACCGAAGGCCATTGAAGCAGCAGCCCAAAGAAGCCCAGCCCGCAAGAGATGACCCAGCCTGAGACCAGCTCCGAGTCACACAGGCTTCCCACTGTTACCTTGGCAATTCTAGAGGAAGCACAGAAAACCTTCTCCATGTCCATGCCCTGGAGGTCCTCCTTACATCTCTCCAGCTCCTTCTCCTTAGAAGTGCTCCATGGGGAGCAGGTCTGACTTGCTGTAGGGAACATAGTTTCAGACATGACCCACAGGGACAAAGGGCCTGGCCAAGGCCTGCTACCCTGGCTTTACCAGCCTAAGCCACCTCCAGCATCCGGGCATCCTATCCCTCTGGCCTCTGCTCTCATCATTCTTCCTACACCCAGGCCTCTGCCTGCATACCCTCTGTTCATGGCTCAGACACCTGCTGTCCCTTCAACTCAGGTCTGGCCAGCTCTGCCATGTCTTGGTATCTGTGAGCTAACATTCTTCCAGGGGAGGCCCTTAGTGCCTGGCACATGCCCTCATGAGTCAATCTGGCAATAAGCCTCTCCTTCCAGAAGCTTCCATGGCCTGTCCACGAGCTCTCCCACTCTGCTCTGTTGGTCACCCTTGTCTGTCTCCCTGCACAGAGCAGCCAGGCTTCCCTGCATGGCAGGATGCAGCCGACATCCCTGGTGGGAGCCTACCTCCCTCTGGGAAAGCAGGCCCTGGTCCCCCTTCCCTCCATACCATGAAGATCTAGCAGGGTAGACAGCACATTAGTTGAGGACACACGGATTCTTTGGTGAGCATCACAGGTGCATGGGGCAATAAGCCCAACCAGTATGCCAAACTGCCCCAGCTTCAGGGGGATCTGAGGGACAGAAGATGTCAGGGCTCATACCTCTGTGCTCTCCTGCACACTTGGAAGGTGGAGAGGGTGAATCCTGCTCTGAAAACACCATCTGGGGAGGGGAAGCAGCCACCATCCACCTCGCATCCACACATCAGCCTCTCAGCTCCACAGCTGGGCCCCTGGAGGGTCCTGCCCCCAGTCAGAGCCAGCTCTGCTCTGTTCTCTGCTCTGAGCTCAGATGCAACTGTCCCTGTAATGAGGCCTGGGCTCCAATCAGGACTCTCTGCTCACTGCCTGAGTGACCTGTGTGGGGACTTCTCTTCTCTGCCGCTCATGTTCCCTTTCTGAACAGTGGGGATGAAAGCGTCACCTCCTCTTTCAGGGAGGGTTAGAAGAATCAGATGAGAGAATCCAGGTAACACACTCCACACAAAGTGCTGGTCGGGCCTCCACCTTGTTCAGTGCTGGCTGCAGCCCTGCCTCAATTTGCTGAGCCCTCACCCCCAACTCCATCCAGGTGCCCCAGGACTGGGGGCCTAGCCAGCCCAGTTCTCACCATGCGTCTTCCCCAAGCTCTGAGACCCATCCTGCATCCAGCCCTGGACACCACTATCCTGCTCACAGCCTCCTGAGGATCAGGCCATCAAAGAGTTTGGAGTGATCACATGTCAGACAGGAAGTCTCACCCCGCTGCGACAGACAGCTAATCAGTAAAATACTGCATTGTTCTAGATTTCATGATGTTCATGGTACTTATCAAGCTTTGTAAAATTTGTGATTTTATATTGATTTATTTTCTCATTCTAAGTAAAGAACCACTTTCCTAGCCAATATGGTATTCATAATTGTGTGTCCTTATTCTTACAAAGGGCCCTCACTGCTGCATGGACCTCAGGCCCACAACACCTGAACCCACACCGAGCTGTGTTCTCTCCCACCTCTCCCTCACCTGCCCTAGAGAAACCCAGTACTAGTTTATCACAGCCTCTTCGCAAGGAAGTCTGCCAGGGAAACTTTGATTTCAAAAGCATTCCCTCTACTCCCACATAAAGACAGAAATCTGTCTGTGGATCTCGGCACAGTGGGCTGGGGCTGGATTCTCTTTGACTCACACAGACGCCGATGCTCTGAACATAGGTCTTCATGAGGTGCAGGTGAAGTTCCATGGCCTCCTCCCGCTCCCATTCTTTCTCTGACAAGATCCACTTTTCCAGGAACTAAGGGTAGAACCCAGAACATAGAAGCAGACATTAAAATCCCGAGGCCAGTCCTTTTCTCAATAGCTCTTCCCTCCTCTTCCTTCCTACTCAGAGTTTGACTTCTGATGCTTCTGTGTGAGTCTAGAAACTTCTAGTTTTCTTCCCAGGGTCCATGAAGGGAGATGACACTATAGTCAGGGAGATTCTGTCCCCAAAATCACCACCAGGATAGTGTTTGGCTGTTGTGTTTGGCCTGGCTCAAAATGTTTCCTGCAATAAAAGGCCAAGGGCACAGCCCACCCTGCCCTCCAAGTGGCCCTGGGGGCCCTTCTGATAGCAAAGTTCATGTCAGAGCAAAGAATATTACTATAGATTAAATGGATCATAAGGGTAAGTTTATCAAGACATCATAACAAGCCTAAATGTTCATGCACCTAACAACATAGCTAAATAATACACGAAGCAAAACCTGATAGAACTGAAAGGGGAAATAAATCCACAGTGATAGAGATTTCAGGACCTTGCTCTCAGCAACTGATAGAACAGGAAGGATCCAGGAGACTTGTGCAATACTGCTGATCAACTTGGCCTAAGTGCCAGTAAGGAACAACACACCCAACAATAGTAGAATACTTTTCAAGTGTACATTTGCCAAAATAGACCATATATGGGCAAAAAATAGTCTCCATCACTTTTAGGGGTTGAAAATATGCAAAGTATGCCCTCAGACAACAGTGGAGTTAAATTAGGGAACTAAATCAGAAAGATCTCTGGAAAAGCTCTACATATTTGAAAATTTCTAAATAAAATACATATCAAGGAAGAAAACAAAAGAGAAATTAAAATGCATTTTGAATGGAAACAGAAAGATTAGAACACAATATATCAAAATCTGTAGAATTCAACAACAACAAAAAAAAGAACAAGGTCTATAAACTTATAATATCTGATCTTGATTTTAAGACTTATCATAACATCACACTAAGCAAGACAGTGTGGTATTGGGTAAAGACAGACAAACACATCAATGGAGCAGCAAAAGTGTCCAAGGAATAGACCTGCACCATACATGGTCACTTGATTTTTGACAAAGTTGCTCCAAGCGGAGCAAGGTGGGAGGATCATTTGAGCCCAGGAGTTTGAGCTTTGTAAAATTCTAGCAAAGGTGCTAAAATGTGTAGAATAATAAACCTTAATCCATATCTCAAACTATTCAAAAATTAACTCAAAATATATCATAGATCTAAATGGAATCCCTGAAAATACAGCACTTCTAGGAAAAAAAAGATGAAAATCTTTGTGGCCTTGGGTTAGGGAAAGACTTCTTAGATTTAAAACCAAAAGCTGGGGGGGAAGGGAGCAAGATGGCCGACAGGTATCAGCCTCTGACAGTAGCTCCCATCCAGAGGGAAGGATAAAGTCCAGAAAACACCCAACAAAGTTGCAGACTGGGAGCCCAGACTAGAGAGAAGAGTGATACTGGCAGGACACCTCTGCTGAGGCAAGCAGCAACTCCTAGAAAGCAATCTACAGGTACATAATACACCCCAAATGAAAAGTGTCTGTCCCCTCCCCCAAGAAAGTTGTGCTTGTGCTTTTCCTTTGTTTTCTCTCCAACTGCTCCTCTGAGTCTCCTGCAGGCTACCAATAAACTGAGGACCTATTATCTCAAACCACGAGAGCTACTGACAGTGGGGTCTACTCCCCTGGAGGGACCCTGCTGAGACCCCAAACACCCTCTCCCAGGCAGAAAAGTGGAACTGGTGTTTGCACTGCCATTTTGAATTTCCAGTCCACCCTTCCCTCCTTGCCTGGAGAGACAGTGAGAGGAGACCCAAGAGCAACATCCCCCCACTCCTGTGTGACCAAGCCCCGGTCCCCGTCCTGCACCGGGAGAACTGCTTGAACCACACGTGCTCTGTGCAGACTGATCCCACCAGCCAGTGTGTCCTGCACCCAGCTGCCTGCCCAGCTGCTGTCCCTGCTTTCCTGGGGCTTGCCACCAGCACATGCCCAGAACTGAGTCTCACCAGCCAACACATCCTGTGCCCTACTGCCTGCCCAGCTGCTGTCCCCACTCCCCAGGGGCTCTCTGGAGGCTCTCTGGTGGCATGCACCAAGGACTGATCCACCCAGCCAACACATCCCCCACATGGCTGCCCACCAGTTGCTAGCCTGACTCCTTGGGAACTCCCTGGCCGCAAGCACCAAGGACTGATCCATCCAGCTAGTGCATTCCCTGTGCAGCTGCCTGCCTTTTGCTGTCCCTGCTCCTTGGGGGCTCCCCAGTGGCACATACCAAGGACTGATCCAGCCAGCCAGCACATTCCCTGCATGGCTGCCTGCAGGTTGCTCCCCCACCCCCCAGGGGCTCTGGCATTCCAGGCCCAGTCTGAGAACTGCAAGAGGATGGCCAGTTGAGAGGGAACCACACTGGAGAGGTGATACCCCAAGGCAAAAAGCAATAGCTGCAGCAGTGGGAACAATAAGCCTTACACTCCTGAGACTTTTCCAAGCAGACACACCCTAACTATCTAGACAACCAGAAGAAGCCACTGGCAGAATGGTTTTAGGGACGGTCCTTGAAAGGTGCAAATTCAGCAGGGGAGGAATCATCAGAAAAACTCTGGTAACCAGAACAACCAGAGTAGATCAACCCCCTTCAAGGAAGGATGGGGCAGATGCAACTGAAGATCCCTTCCATGAACAGATGGCTGAGATGTCAGAAATTGAGTTCAGAATCTGGATAGTGAATAAGATCAACGGAATAGAGGAAAGGAGGGAACTAGAATTTCAAATTATTCAAAAGCTGTCTCAAGAATTCAATGATTTCAAAGATAAAATGACCAAAGACTATGACACACTGAAGCAAGAGGTTGCAGCCCTCAAAGATCTGAAAAGTACAGTTGAATCCCTCAGTCAGAGAATGGAGCAGGCAGAAGAAAGGATCTCTGACACTGAAGACAAAGATTTTGAATGCATCCAAGCACACAGAAATGAAGACAAATGGAGAGCAAAAATGGATCACTCACTCAGAGAGCTCTGAGATAATTTGAAGAAAACTAATATTCGCCTTATAGGAATCCCTGAAGGCAATTAAGTTGCTTCACAAAATACAGAGGCGGCTCCTCTTCATGAAATTATGAAAGAGAACTTTCCAGACATGTCAAGAGATTCTGAAATTCATATAGCAGACAGTTTCAGAACCCCAGCATGACTCAACTGAACAAGACATCCTCTAGGCATATCATAATCAAATTCACTAAAGTTAATATGAAAGAGAAAATTCTGAAAGCAGCTAGATGCAAGAAAACCTTAACCTACAAGGGAAAGAATATTAGAATGACTGCAGATCTCTCTGCTGAAACCTTTCAGGCTAGAAGAGGGTGGTCATCGACCTTTAATCTCCTAAAAAAAAATAACTTCCAACCCAGAATCCTGTATCCAGCTAAACTGAGTTTCATTTATGATGGAGAAATTAAATACTAAATTAAATTAATGACATTCACATGTTGAATAAATTTGCCATAACTAAACCAGCCCTCCAGGATATTCTCAGACCTATCCTCCATAATGATCAGCACAATCCTCCACCACATAAATAAACCCACCCAGAAAATTTTGATCAAATTTCAATCTCCACAGTGGCAAAAGGATTAAAGATGTCCACTGGACTTTCAAAAAACTCAATACCCAAAATTCTACCAGGCTTATCAATATTCTCAATCAATGTGAATGGCTTAAATTGTCCTCTAAAGAGGCACAGGTTGGCTGATGGATATAAAAACTCAGGCCAGATATCTGCTGCATACAAGAATCTCTCCTTACTTTGAAAGAAAAACATAGACTCAGGGTGAAGGGATGGTCATCTATTTTCCAGGCTAATGGAAAGCAAAAAAAAAAAAGCAGGTGTTGCAATTTTATTCACAGATACAATAGGCTTTAAACCAACAAAAGTGAGCAAGGATAAGGATGGTTACTTTATACTTGTTAAGGGTAATACTCAATACGATGAGATTTCAATTATCAATATTTATGCACCCAACCAGAATGCACCTCAATTTACAAGAGACACTCTAACAGACATGAGCAACCTGATTACTCCCAGCTCCATCATAGTCAGAGATCTTAATATTCCTTTGGCAGTGCTGGATAGATCATCCAACAAGAAGCTTAGCAAAGAAATTTTGGATTTAAACTTAACCATTCAGCATTTGGATTTAATGGACATCTACAGAATATTTCATCCTAATGAAACTGAATACACATTTTTCTCATCAGCCCACGGAACATACTCCAAAATAGACCACATCTTAGGTCACAAGTCTAACCTCAGCAAATTTAAAAGAATAGAAATTATTCCTTGCATCTTCTCAGACCACCATGGAATAAAAGTTGAACTCAGTAACAACAGGAATCTGCAGACACAAACAAAAATGTGGAAGCTAAATAACTTTATGGTCAATGATAGGTGGGTCAGAGATGAGATCAAGAAGGAAATTACCAAATTTTTGGAACAAAACAGTAATAAAGAGACAAGTTACCAGAACCTCTGGAATACTGCAAAGTATTGCTCAGTCCTAAGAGGGAATTTTTTTTCTTTTTTTTTTTTCAGTTTTTTACTGGGGCTGGGTGCCCTCCAGCATATGGGGCCAGAACCCTACTCCTTTGAGCCACAGGCACTGCCCCTAAGAGGGAAATTTATCGCACTGCAAGCCTTCCTCAAGAAGATGGAAAGAGAGGAAGTTAACAACTTAATGGGACATCTCAAGCAACTGGAAAAGGAAGAACACTCCAATCCCAAACCCAGCAGAACAAAAGAAATAACCAAAATTAGAGCAGAATTAAATGAAATTGAAAACAAAAGGATTATACAACAGATTAACAAATCAAAAAGTTGGTTTTTTGAAAAGGTCAATAAAATTGATAAACCCTTGGCCAACCTAACCAAGAAAAAAAGAGTTAAATCTCTAATTTCATCAATCAGAAATGGTAAAGACAAAATTACAACAGACCCCTCAGAAATTCAAGAAATCCTTCATTAATACTACAAGAAACTTTACTTTCAGAAATATGAAAATCTGAAGGCAATCGACCAATACTTGGAAGCATGCCACCTTCCAAGACTTAGTCAGAACCAAGTGGAAATGTTGAACAGGCC